CATTTCACTTGTATGATGCTGCTGTGACTCTGTTTTGATCTATTCGTTCGTGTATGGTACATTGGGCTATAAAGCACTCTTTACTAACATACTCTTCTCGTTGTTGAGAGTAGTTCATCCCTCTGCTCATCACCTATCATCATGCTGAAGCATAGAAGCCGACTCTATCTATACCAAACGCCCCAAGCTGTAATGCAATCATGGTCCCCTAGACGAAACCTCCATACTTCCAGCCGATGCCATACCACGTAGTGAGCAAGCATTACCTTACAAATACAATACATCAATAACCCTCACTATCCACCTTATCCCATCCCCATCTTCTCCAACCCCCTCATCTAATACCCTCCTCCCACCTCCCCACCCCACTATCCTTCCTCCTCCCATTCCCCTCCCCTACCTCCTCACCCCCCGGCGTAAACAATTCCGCACTCAACACCAAAACAGCAGGCACAACCGCCAACGCATCGATCGTGCCGCTCCGCCCCCTTTTACTATGATGTCGCAAATTCATCATCGCGTTTACTTCCCGCGATTTCACGCAGTCTTTGCGGATGCGCGGCCAGTCTTCGCTGTTCCGGTCAATGGAGCGCGGTGATGTGGGTGAGGTGGGCGAGGTGGGTGAGGTTATAGATGTAGATGTAGATGCGGATGAGGAGCTACGGTGGCGGAAGGGAGATAGTGAGGATAGGGTCCGGGAGCGTCCGCGTTGTTTTTCGGGTGGTGAGGCGAGCGAGGGGTTGGTTGGTAGTGATGGGTGGGTTGGCGTGGATGGAGATGTGCTGTGTGGTGTTGTGATACGGGGGAGTGGGATGTTTATTTCTGTGTAGAGGGGGCCTTCGTAGTGGACTGCGAAGGGCTCTGATGTTGATATTGATGTGGCGATATCTGAGGTTGAGGGTATAGGCGCATCATGGTCGTGTTGTGGGGTTGTCGGGGCGGAATCTAGGGCTGGGAAGGGCTCGTAGCATGGGCTGTTGTGGTCCATGATTGTTACCACTTTTCGTGTTGATTTTCTGGTTTATTCAACAGAGTTCCTTTCAGATCTTAAGGTCGCGAGAGCTGGAAGGACGAAGGACCAGAGAATTTGCGGCGTGATGTGTGTATATGTCCTGGAGGCGCGGTGATCAAAAGCGTCGCGCGGTGGGCACAGCCTCGTTCAGGCAACCCTTTGTTTTGTCACGTCGTTGACGCCCGAAACACGCGCGGGACGGCGATTATCTCAGATGCTTCGAAAACTGTAAGTTTGCAAAGCAGTGAAAGCTCCTGCTAGTCCACTGATTGGTATCGTCGCGCTGGTAGATATGCAGGTATTTGGAAATCGTTGTTGACAGTCAAGGCCCAAGAATCAACAACCCACACGAACGCGCCCCAAACGCGATACATATACGTCTAAACCAAAAGTAGGCTCCCATTATCTGCACTTCAGCTGATCGCAATAAGCCTCATTTCCACACGCGTGCGGCTCAGCGGCGGTGTCGCGGTTAGGAGCTTTCGCGAGCCGCTTAGCCGATTGACATGGCTGTGGGGGCTGTGCAGGTTCGGCGGCTGACATGAGGATGAGGCTCAGCGCTACAGTAAGACGACACTACAAAGCTGACGTCTATGTTCCGTTTTTTTCTGACGAAATTTGATGTTACAGCCTGTCAGATACTGTGATTGCGTCAAAATGTGACCAGCTACACGTGTATCAAGACAAAGTGGATGTGTGATTGAAATGTATTATTCATGTTGTCGTTGACATTATCATCGTTGACTATATACAAAGCTGCGTCACCGCGAGCTTACAAAAGGCTCAAAGTGACCTTCGCGCCCTTGACACCCCTGTGAACGTGAGGCTCACGTACGCTCCTCTTCGCGGTGCCGTTGACGGGCACACGGGCTGGGAAGCCCTCCCACGAGGTGGCGTAGTTGGCAACTGCGGCAGCAATACCGCGGGAGTGTAGGAGCCAAGCTCCCTCGTTGAGGTTGGTGACATTGTCGGCAGCCTGGTGGTAGTTCTGATCGAGGATCTCTCCTGCAACACCACCCCAGATAGCCTGCTCCTCGACTGTCTTGACTTCATCAGCACCAGTGGTGGTACCACCTGCGGGGATGTTGGCGTCAAGGAAAGGACCGTAGTCGGAACGGCCGTTGAACTCGGTAGCGTTGCTGGAGATGTTGAGATCCTTGAAGTAACCCTCGAAGAAAGCCTCAATCTGGTCGCTTCCAGCGGGTCCGCTCAGACCGTATGCGCTGCCGTCACCGTCGTAGATCTGGTGGACGTAGTTGGGAGACGCAATCATGTCGAAGTTGAGGTATGCGCGGATGTCAAGAGCTGCCGCAGGAGACAGGCTCTCGACGAAGAAGGTGGAGCCGAGAAGACCGGACTCCTCTCCAGACCAGAAGCCGAAGCTGACAGCGTTCTTGACGTTGTACTTAGCAAGCGACTTGGCGACGTTCAGGATGGCAACAGTTCCAGAGCCATCGTCGTTGATTCCAGGACCAGCACCGACAGAGTCAGTGTGAGCACCGAGCCAAAGCTGGTTGTCCTTGTCACCACACTTGCTGGTAGCAAGAACGTTGTTGGTGGTGATGATCTGGACGTCGGTCAAAACGTCCAATTCGCCGGTGATAGTAGCACCGCCTGCGACCTTGGAAAGGATTGCCTGGCCTTCTGCCTGTGACAGAGTGACAGACGCAACGTAGTCACCCTCCGGGCGGGGAGGGGGGCCAAGAGTTGCGCTGATAGTGCCGGCAACGTTGTTGTAGATGATAGCACCTACGGCGCCAGCGCTTGCAGCAAGAGCAGACTTCAGTCCAAACTCACATTCACCGCGCGAGATGAGTGCGATGCTGCCGGATACTTCCGCGGGGAAGTCAGACGCCTCGCAACCAAGGTTGTTGACCGGAACGATGGGTGCGGTGACGAGCCCATCGGTAGAGGCTGAGTATTCAAGGATCGTGGAGTTGATCATACGTCCGTCGATGGTGAACTTGTTGAGCGTGCCGTTCAGCATGACGTAGTTGGAGAAGGGCTGGAGCGTAACATCGTAGTATGAAGTAGACTCGAGCTCTTTCTTCAGCCAGTTGACGGTGTCATTGTGAGCCTCTCCTCCCATGATCCTGTTACGGGCTGGGTAGCTGTAGGCAAAGTCCTCAAGCTGCTGAGCACCCCTCATCAACTTCTTGATGGTGATGTCCTTCTGGAGAGCCGCCTACAACGATCGTTAGCATAGTCGTAACGCGACTGTTGGGGGTTGAAGTTCCATACCTTCGTGACCAGAGGCTTCTTGGGGCATGGCTTGGCGTTGTGACCATCCTGACGCTGCCTGATTTCCGCCGTAGGGACGGCTGCAGCACCAACGGCGAGCGCAGCGAGACCGAGAGTAACCCTCATATTGACAAATCTGCTCTATCTCGAGTGTTTGAGATGGTAGAAGCAAGCTGCGGCGTGTCCTCTCTCTGGAGTGCGGAACGTGCCCTTTATAGATCTCTGTTGCAGCGATCGTCAGGTCGTGCATGCGTCGCCATGCACAGATTCCGTGGGCCTGTTTCCGTGAACCAATTCTGCGGTCATCGCGTGCGCTCGCAATCAACGCCCTGTCTGCCAAGCAGCTCAATATGAACAAGCTCCTATCATTCGCCCATGGCTTCTCCACTCTTCATGCTTGATCAAGCAGCTGGTAAAGACAAGCCGCGCCAATGCCTGCTTCATTCCGGTCGAGTCCTGGGCGGCGTCTGGGCACGCCTGATAGTGGCGCTCAATTGCGAGGTTTCCGCAGCGCAATTGGAGAGAGAACTCATGCGGGTGGATGCCGGCGGAGGCAAGATCACGCTCGCCAAGAAAGCCGGATGGATGCTCTTTAGGAAGGTGGCCATGTCCGGCTGCGCGACCCGCATGAGACCCGTTCTGTGGCCGTTTAGCATCCACGGTGTATCGCGGAACACTCAAAAGCCGTCGTGAGGTTTGTCATCGTCGCCTCTTCCTTCAGGAACCCCGCTTCGTGCGATCTGGGCAGGTCATTTCGGGTGTCGAAATTGACGGCCGATAGCACGGCATGCGGCGCCGAGGTCCCTGAAAACGGGGAGCTTGTGCCTGGCGCACGGAGCAGCCGATAGCTGGAGGGATAACGAGACCATCTCAGGGCTCTACAAGAGCAATCATCTCGGAATAAAAAGAAAACGGCAAAAGATCTGTCGCGACAATCGATGCATATGAAAGAGATGCAGGAGATGAAGAGGGAACCGATGGCATATATGTCTCAGAGCACCATGTTGTCCTCCTCTTGGCGACACCATGGCCTATTGGGCAGCTCCAGCCATATCATGGTTGGCTGGGAACCTCGACAAGCGTTTGATAGCAGCTCCCGGACCCAAAGACGACGATCCTCACCTCACTATACGAACAACTCTGGGCTCTTCTATTGATTGCTTGACATTGAAATTATGAGTACGCGTCCGCATTACACTTCATGTGTATCTTTGATATACATCAAGACAAACAGCGTCGGAACAAGACAAGTCTACTACAAACCTCGCAACAATCAGGGGACTGGACATAATCCAAGAGGAGAGATCTAAAAAGAACGCCGACACAGCAACGAAAAGCCTACTCTTTCCGCGCATAAAACGTCAAGTTCTTCCCCCAATCATCAATAAGGTCGCCAGCATTTTTGAACCTACCCTCGTCATCCGGCGACGGACAGTCATCTGCAAACTCCCGACCCAGCCACGTCGCATTCATACACTCCAGCATCCGTCCAACTCGCGGGGTCCAAGTATCGAGCGCCATGATCTTCCCCTCCTGATGCCACGGATGGCTCATTATCTCTGCGGTGATGATTGCCGCGGGACTTGTCGGAAAACACATGTCCGCAGCAACCTGGAAGACCGGTAGGAAGACGGGTTGGTAGAGGCTTAGTAAGAGCGTAGAGGGCGTGATAGAGAGGTATTGGTACGGCTCTGATACCACCGTGATGGGAGGGTTGCACTGAGAAAGCGTGACCATATCCTCACGTTTATAGGCTATGTCGCGAGCTACAATTGGGATTGGGGTTGGTGTGGAAGTCGTGGTGGAAGTGGCGGCGTACCGCTGCGATAGGTAGGTCGAGATGGCGCAGGCGAGGACGTGCTGTGTAGCTGAAGTATCTTCCTTTCTGCCTTCCTCCTCTGTTCCGTGCATGGCTCCGAGGGCTACGCACACAATGTTGTCGACTGGTACAGTGAGAGCGTCGAGCTGCTGTCGTACACTCGCCCAGAACCTGCTTTGAAGCAAAGATGTCTCGAGGACTTTCGGGATTCCTTTGTACTCCTCGGAAGAAGAGTAAGGTAGGCTCGCCTGCTCACCTGTATTCTGAAGGCTATCGGGCTTCAGCGCCCTGGTATCACTGAAATCGTACTTAGTACCCTGGTGGGGAGTCCTGATGTGATACGCTGGACGCATCGTGTCAGAAGCACAAATGAAGACCCCGCTGAAACTCAGGCTGACCGCGGGCGAGGCACACGGTGGGACACGCTTCTCCACTTCTCCATTGCCTAGTACACGTGGTAAAAGCATGAACGGCATGTTCGGATCGCCTTTACGAACTATCTCGACTTGCTCTGCTGCTTTTTCGAAGAACGCACGGGTGAAGATTCTTCCGTTATCCAGGGAGGCTTCGAAAGCCCGAGCATCTTCGAAGACTTGTGGACCGTATGATTCGCATTGCTTTTCTCTGTCGTCTTTGACACGTTGGGCCATGTCGCTGCGTTCTTTCCCAGACGATGAGGATGTGGGGTGTGTGGGAGCTTCTCTTGGTCCTGTAATTTCTTTCTGGGCTGACATGGTGTAGTAAACTCAAGTCGAGATTCTCAACTGCTGCTTGGTGAACACAGGTCTGGTACGGCGAAGAGAACCTGATAACGTGCCTGTTTTCGCACAACTCAGAACAGCGTTGTTGCAGGACTAAACTTTAATTAACTCAAAGGGTGATGGAACCTTCACAGTGTTCAATGTAGAATGAAACAGTGAGCTTGCGCGTTTGTTAAGCGAAAGGCTTTGATGTTGGAGCTATGGGGAGTGATTTTGGAGTAAACATACCTAGAAAACGTGCATTCACTGGCGCAGTGATAGCATTATCCTCCCGGCAAGTCTGTGGAATCGCCATGCTCCTTATTTACAAGTCCGGTGTGAATGTCAGAGGTTGTGAATCGCGATACCATGGGATAGAGGTGATAGAACCAGATCGAGATGTTGAGTAACCCAGAATTCTGAGATGTAAAAGCTTCATTATCACGAACCCCCACAAAACCTTCACTTAAACTGATCCTCCGTAACACCCTTCCCCATAGCCGCCGTAGAACTAACACCACCCGACACCATCTTCAACAAATTATCCACATAATTCGCGCCACTCCACTTCTGATGCGTAAGCACATCGACCTTGTTCTCCGCCTCCGGCTCCTGGATAATCTCGCCATAAGCGCGCATACCCTGCTTAGCATACGCCTTGGAGAACGTATCGGCCATAAGCGCACTCTGGTGCAGACCAGCGAGCGTGATGAACTGCCAGCAATAACCCAGCTTAGCCAGGCGCTGGATGTAGGTTTCTTGCTCGTCGCGGGGCATGGCGGCTTTCCAGTTGAAGGAGGGGGAGAGGTTGTATGCTAGTCTGTTGAGATTGTTAGTGTGTGTAAGAGAGGGGCGTGGAAGAAGACGTACTTCTGCTCGGGCCAAACGGCATGCACGCCATCAGCGAATTCTTTCGCTTGCGCGAAGTCGGGCAGCTTTGACTCCATCCAGATCATGTCGCAGTAGGGCGCGTATGCGATGGCGCGGCTGATAGCAGTTTGGCAACCGCCTTGGTATCTGTAGTAGCCCTCGCGCGTCCTTGCGGCGTCCCAGTTGAAGTACACATCGACGCCTGTCAGGCCTGCGGCGATGGCGCGTGCTTCTGAGTTGCTTTTGCCCTTGCTCTTCTCCATGAACTCGTTGATCATGCTTTGCTTGTCGACATGTACACCGGCGTTTATTGTGTCGATGACGGCCTCGTGGTATAGCTTGAGGTTGGCCTCCTTCGTCCATGCATCTTCGATTGCTTGGAGCTCCGCGCCTGTCTTGCCGGCTTGTTCCGCGGCGTACATGAGTTCACCTAGAGGCTGAAGGGCAGGGTTTGTGCAGCCTAGAATGTAGTGGTGGTCGCGTGGGTCGATGGTAGAAGTGATCAGGGTAGCGGCTTCTGAGTCGGTTCTGGCAACGGCAAGTAGGTCGGTTCCTGTCATTCGAATGTCAGCCTATGTCCAATCTGATGCTTGGGGTTCATCGTCTTACCCATGATATCCGCCTGCGCCCTGATAGCGACCAGACGGTTGATATGCTCGCTGATCGGAACCAACACCTTTCCAGCCATATGTCCGCACTTCTTTGTTCCTGGCGCTTGATCCTCGATATGTATACCCGCAGCACCCTTCTCAATGAACAGCTTCGTGAGCTTCATGATAGCTGTAAGACCTCCATGTCCAGTATCGGCATCTGCGATAATCGGTCGTAGGTAGTCTACGCTGGCGACTTTCGCACGGTCGGCTTTCGCGGTGGTCAAGCGTTCTTCGCGTTGCTTTCGGTCGTGGAAAAGCTGCGCCATGAATAGGTGGCCAACTTTGTTGGGGACGGTTGTCTTTGGTTTATTAGCTTCCGCTACCCATCACCGTTCACTTCTGTGACTTACGTAGGGATAGTCTGCTAGATCAGGACCTGGCTCGTCGGTCGATGAAGCTGTTGACGATGCCTGCCATCCAGAAACGTAAACAGTGTCTAGATACTTCGCCATCTGTGTGACCATGACAGGATCGAGACATCCGTATGTGTAGCTCACATCGTTGTTCTACATATTGTCAGCTCGCATACTTGGAGTCTAAGATTACTACCATACCTTGAAGCGTCCTTCCACAATCTCCCAAAGCTTCTTCGACTGGTGATTGCTTGGGTAGGTGATCTTAAGATTACCTCTCTTCGAAACGATATCCTCAGCAGTAAACGGCCTCCTAGTATACCTCCATCTTGAGTCCGTCCACCACTGCTTAACTTCCTGAACTTCCTTCTGGAACTGCGCGTCCTCGGCGTCAATGTTCGCCATGATGAGTGATGTCTAAGGTGTGTAACAACAACAAAGAAGCCAAGTTATTTCAACACGACTGGTGTGTGTATGAAGAAATGTGAACAAAAAACAAGAGGGAAAGCTCGTTCTTTGATAAAGATGACCAGCAATGACACCACACGCACTCTAGCCTCGGTCTACGCAGCCAGGAACCTTGGGGGGAAAGCCAAGCGTCTTATAACCATAGCCATCAGCATACTCACACCAGCACGGCTAGCACAGCACCCCAAGTGAGCTCGGGGACGACCGGCTGGACGCACCATTGGCCCGACAGCTGCATCCTCGGAAGCTGGCAGCAACGTCTAGCGCTGGCCATGCACTTGCCTCGAGCGTTGTTTTGCGTTGCCCTCGGCCCAAGGGGAATTGACGTTTTGGAAGGCTGACCAGTGTAGATCGGGGTGGGGATGGGGGACCAGCGGAACCGTGACGGGGATGACGTTTGCCAATGGTCTTGGGTCAACTCGTTACAGACAGAGCTGCATCCTTCGTTATCATCCTACTCCTATATCGCGGTCCCCATCTCGATGCACTGGAGATGATGTCCAGTATGACACGCGACAGTATGCTGCAGCTTCACATGTCGACGTTGCGTCCCTCTGCTTAGCTGGTTTTCTGGTGCATGTGAAGACGCACGCCAAAATCTGGGGTCGCGTGTTCGTTAGCGTCGCGCGGGTTTTACCTCGGTTGATCCTGTCCGGAAAAGGCCTGAACCGCTATTGATCTGCGACTTTCACGAGCAGGCATCTTCGCTGTTTAGGACGCTTTTGTCTCGGAAAACACGTGAGTGGTGTCATTGTTGCGTCTGGAATATCTCGGATAAGTCTCGCTCGGCAGCAGTGACGATCCCGGCAAATGCTCGTGGGTGGGCGTTATACCGCCATGTGCACCACCGTTATTCGAGAAGTACACGAATTGGATTGTGATTGAGAGGAGAGATCTACGTTTCATCTATAGCCCTTCAACGATTCGTACATATGACACGAGTACACCGCCAACATGCTCTTCCCCAACGACCACCAACCCCAGTAATCCATCGCAAGCGCATTGGAGCATGTCGACCAATCCCTTCTCATCACCGAACCTTCTAAACATTCAGCTGACAGCAATCCCGGTGTCGAGCCACCCCAACTCATCAGCTGCTGAGCAGCAACATAACACAGCAAGATCCTGATCACCAAATCCACCAGCCCAACTATCTCTGTAAACCCAAAACAAAAGCGCTGTGCCAAGAAAAGCTTGGTAACGGTCCTCCGGTACTCACAAGCGTACTGCTGCCCGAAGTAACCCCGGACGTATCTGTCCAGCTCAGAGAATGGCCTGGTGCGGATATCATCTACATTGACCGCGGGATTCTGCGGCGTGACTGAGTATGCAGGGTCGGCGGGTGGGCACCTCAACTTCTTGAGCAACCACCATCTGAGCTCGTCCAGGTAACTTCTTCGCACTGGTGGCGCGTCCTCATCTTTGAAACGTATCGATGAGCGTTCTGAGAGTAGCAGAGGTAAGAGCTGGGGACGGCACAACCATAATGTCCTGTTCCGTTCGTCGGTGAAGATGCATTCGCGGTCGATGGCCTCTGATATGTAGGTGTAGTGAATGAGTCGCGAGTAGAACGCCGGTGTGAGCACACGGATCTCAATGTTCTTGTATGGTCGGTTTCGACCAGGGACGTGTGTCGTAGCGATCTTGTCGGTGGGGATGTTGGGAACCGACGCCTTGAACGTGATGCAAAAGTCTACTTCGGTCTGGTTGACGAGTACGTGTAGGTAGTTTCTGAATATTTTGTAGAGTGTTCTGGGACTGTTAGTTGCATTCGGGTAGTGCTTCAACCGTACTTACATTTCAGCGGAAGTGGGAAGCCGACCAACGCTCGACGTTAGCACCTCCGGTCGGAACCACACATGCAACTTCCTCTTGAAGAAGATCTTGCCAGCTTCTCTGACAATGCGCGGGAACGTTACAAAGCCCACCCACCACCAGCTCAGGATGAACCGCAGAGTTCCGAGGAACCCCAATTGGTCCGGGTCAATAGCCTTTCCGGTAGAGAAGAGGCGAGCTACAAGCTTCCCATGGTCCTTGGAAGACTTGAGAGTAATCGTGTTGTCGATTAATGGGTTCTCGCAGTCCACAGACGGGAAAGGGTTCTGAGCTTTCAGCGCATACGAACCCTTTCGAGAGTTGAACGGCGAAACATGGAAGTCTTTCGTCCACACATCGGTGAACTTTGACTTCGACCCAACAGGTACCTGCGGTCCGTGTTCTTCGGATCCAGACGTTTGTTCGGAATCAGATGTGCGCGGCGGACTGGCAGGGCTCGATCCGTCAAGCAGATACATGCGTCTTTCTCCGAATGTGTTGTTGACTTCGAGTATCATCTTCACAAGCTGATGTTCGCGATCGTAGATGTACCAGAACGAAACCGGGTTGAATGCATAGCCAAGGAAGCGCGGTGCCGTCACCAGATAAGCGTACTCCCATTCCGCATCTTCAACATGCTGAGCCCGCAAGTACGACCTCAGCTTCCAGTAAAATCCATCTCTGCCGCCACCTCGTTCCAGATAATCCTCCGCTCTTATCCGCAACCACCATTTACCCAAAGTCTGATCCTCTCCGCTTGCGAACTCTATCCTCTGGTACTCAGCCCGGCTTGGGACGATGGGAAATCCGCACTGAAGATATGAGTATGTGAAAG